GAACAACTCTTTCGTAAATATCCGATAGTAAAGTAAGCTGACAATAGTAGATTTTATTTCCGTACATCCTCGAAATGTAATAACAAATACTTATCACCATTTTTACGCCAAATTTGGGTAAGTTTTGCTTTCAGCACTCCCATATTCTCCGTTTCTGTCTCATAGTCAGATATCATAATGATGAAGTCTCCACACATCCCATAATGTGGTTCGTAAGTCTAAATACTCAAAGATCTGGAAAGAAGCTGCACTTGTCAAATTACCTTTGGCGTCAGTTTACCCGCTCGTGAAAGAAAATCTTGTAAATCCTTCAATATAGCTGAAATAATACTTGCTCGGAATTTCAACATGAAAGGTGTCTTGATTTTAGCTTGAAATGATCGTATAAATTTTTCAAGTAAGGAGCAGTACTTATTGGTCAACCTTATAGCATCAACAGTTATCTCGACTTGGCATACTCTTACCTTCTCTTCCATAGACTGCGTCCTTTCCAGCATGGACAAGAACAGCGTCTGGATCGTAGAAGGCAGCAACCTGACAAACATTTCTATATAATTGGTTAAGTGCGTTCGAAATACAATTTGAAAAGCGCGTAACTATGAGCGCAGGGAATATTCCACTTACTGATACCTTTTCAAATTCTTTGGCTATCGCAAGCTCATGAAACTGGCGTAATGTTGGCGCCAAGATATCTTTTGCTTCTAAATATGGTATTGAACAAGATGATGTTTAGAATAATGCACAATCTAGAAAAAAGTTTGAATGCACCTTCTGATGAACCCATAGCAGTAAAGTGCAGTAAACTTCATTCCTTGCTGCCCTTATAAAGCACATTGGAAACCGGTTATGATAATTCCCAAAGAGCTTTGTAACACGAAGTACATTGAGATTTAGCATCTCTATTTCCATTATTTCTGACAAAATTGGTATTTGTGTTATGGTTTATGCCCAATTTTTTTCGCATGTTTGGAAAAGTCTTTCCTTATATTACACAAATGCAATAGACGCAAAAAACAGATTAGAGTAGTTGCTATACGTAATGTTGGCGCCAAGATATCTTTTGCTTTTAAATATGGTATTGAAGGATGTTCAAGCTCGTCGCTTTAACTGTTCTGTGTCTTTAAAATTTTTTTATCTTGGATGCCATTTTGATCAACGAGGAAGGCGGTGTCATTGGAAATGTCAGATGTATGCGAAACTTAATGTTAAGCAAAGGTGCGATGGCGGGAGCCGGGTTCACCAAAAGTGAAGTTGGTAGTGCACTCAACGCAAA